GAGGGTGAAGCCAGAATGTTCCCTGGAGTCAAGGATTCTGAAGCTTCGTCTGACATACTTTGGGCATGTTGCAAGGAGGGACCGATCCTTGGAGAGGAACATCATGTTTGGGAGAGTGGAGGGATGGCGCAGGAGTGGAAGACCCTCAATAAGATGGATCGATTCAGTGATTGGGGTACTGGGAGTGAGTGTGACGGAGACAGTGAGGTTGGCACAGGATAGAGGAGGGTTTAGGGCTCTTGTACAAAGGGTTGCTATGAGTTGCAAGTGATTTGAAGGCACATGACATTTTTAACTGAAAGGAGACTGTCAGGTGATTTCAGGTTGAGCCTTAAAAGGTACCTCAAGGCCACAGCTGTAGAGATTTCACAAGTCTCTGTCAGATCAGTAAGCCTGGTTTTCTTTTTGCTTTTGAGTTTTGTTGCGTGTTTTTCCTCCCACTCTATCAGGGACCCTGCATTGTGATCTCCTTAAGAAGGGTCAGTGATGGTAGCCAAGCACCATTTATTTTTTCTGTTCTCAAGGTCATGGATACTGAAGTTCATGTGGCCCCTAGTCCTTTGGACTAACCTCCCACTCTTGTTCATTAGTAATCATAAGTGATTCATAGCAGGCTCTCCATTCGGAGGTTTCTGAGACTGTCAGTTGTATAGGAGGAGGTTGCCCATTTTTGTCTGGTGGAACCCCTGATGGATTTGAACCACCAGAGTGGAACCACTTTTGGGTTCACAGCACACCCCCTACTGCTATGCCACCAGAGCTCCTTTTGGGCTAGTCTTTACTTCCTCCTCTTTGCTCTAGACAGAGTGACGCCAATAATTGCTTGCAAATTTTCAAGACCCTGGTTCACTACTCACTGAAGTGGGATGTAAAACATTGTCTTTGTGGACTGTGCTGTATGTAACAGTTGACTATGATGCACCCAAGATTATGATCTTGAGCTTGTAGGCCCAACAACTCATGTCCACAAAGAGTTTGATTATGACTAAGAAGTTTTTATCATTTTACCCATTTGCCTTTCTATATATGTTGTTGTATATATGTTGTTGTTGTTGTTGTGTACTGTTAAATAGAAACCAACTCATAGATGACCATCCAGGGGGGTTTCAGAGGTTGTAAATCACATGGGAGGAGACTTTCTCTTTCCCTTCAGGAACTCTGGTGGCCTATTGTTAAGAATCTGTGCTGCGATCTCAAAGGCACGTGGTTCCAATCTATCAGCTGCCCTGCAGGAGAAGGATGGGCAATCTCCTCCCATGTGATTCATTGTCTCTGAAAACCCATGGGAAGGTCAGCTAAGGGTTGGTTCCAACAACCACAGAAACCACCTCCTTAGCAGCTGGTAGATTCACACCGCATGCCTTAGCGATTGCAGTGCAGCTTCTTACCACAAGATTACTTATAGTTTAGGAAGCTCTGGTGACGTAATAGTGAGAAGTTGTGCTTCCAGCTCAAAGCCACATGGTTCAAATTCACAAACAGCTACATGGAGGATAAGCTATGAGTCTATTCTGACTTAGCAGCACACAACAACAATGACAACAACAACAACAACAATTTACTAGCCTTGGTGGTTTGGTTTGTTGCATGTTGGCCCCTCACCAAAAGGTCAGTCATGAAAACCCACCATTTGCTCCACAGGAGGAAAAGGGTTAGTCTCTTCTTACAAAGATTTACTTAGAGATTTACTTAGAGCCTCAGAAACCTAATGGAGTGCTGCTAGGAGTCCTACTGTCTTGCTGACAGTGAATCTGGTTTTGGTTTTAACATTTAATCTTTCTACATACGAACTGCTTTAATAGAAAGCAGATACATATATTTCTACATAGGTTGTATTTTAAAGCAGATATATATGTAGAAATATTGTCTGTCAGGTTGTGGGTATAGTTTCATTTGCTTTACATGTGCACATTATCAACAATGAGCTGTTTATAAAGATACCTGTGAAGTCCTGATCAGCAGATGGTGGTCTCCTTTTTCTGATTAGCGGTCTCAGAAAACATTAGCTCTATTTTGCTTCCCCCCCCCCCTTGTTGTGTACCATCGATTTGGATCCAACTGGCACAGCAGGAGTTGGATCCTACTGGCACAGCAGGAGATTGCCCTTCCTTCTCCAGTGGAGGATTTGGTGGCTTTGAACCACGTGCCTTCAGGATTGCATGCCTTCAGGGTTGCGTGCTTTCAGGATTGCAGTGTAGCTTCTTGCTACTAGGCCACCAGAGCACCCCAGAAAACATTAGTTCTTAAAGAACACTTGCGTCTCCTCCCCCTGCAAGACACCTTCTTTTTGTCCTTTCCCACTTGCTCTGTGCTGTGTAGTCACAGGCTGGCTTGCTGAGCGCACCTCATCATTCTCTCTTGGCTTTCCCTAGTTGTGGCTGTCTACATCAAGGGGGTTTGGTGGCCCACCGAAGATGTGCTAAAGACCTCTGATCCTGCAAGGGAAGGTCTGATAAAGGTGAGTTATATGATTTCTTATTTTTAAGACATTGGATTTTTGTTTTTTATTACTTTTAAGTGTATACCTAAATGACATTACTTATATTCACCATACTGTGTAACCAGCACTACTCCAAAATGTTTTCATCACCCAAACAGAAACTCAGTGCTCTTTCAATAATTATTCCCTATTCCTCTCCATCCAGCCTCTAGAACTATCGACAAATTTATATCTCTATGTTTGTTCTGGATATTTTATATAAGTGAGTACATGCAATATTCATCCTTTCATATCTGACTTGTTCACTTAGCATATTTTCAAGGTCAGTCCAGGATATAACATGCTTCAAGTCTTTAATTTCTCTTCATGACTAAGAATCATCATCTCCACATTGCAAAAATAGAATTGTGTTTCTACTTACCTTTATAAAGGCCATGTTGGTGTTAGGTACCATTGAGTCAAGCACAACTCAAAGTAACCTAAGGAACAACCTGACCTTTTCCTGTACCATCCACAACATTTTTAACACACTTGAATCCATTGCTGCACTTACTATATCAATCCATCTGGCTGAGGATCTTCCTCTCTTTTGCCAACCTTCCAACTTTCCAACCATGATGTCCTCCAATGAATAGCCTCTCCTAGACACATGCCCAAAGTATGTGAGGCAGTTTTGTTATTTTTGCCTCCAACACATATGCTTGTTACACCATTTTAGAGGCATTTCTGTTATTTCTTTTGGCAGTCCATGGGATATTGGGTACTATTCTCCAACACCACAGCTAAAAGGTGTCACTTCTGTAATTCTTATTCATTGTCCAGCTCTCAGATGCATAGAAAATTATTGAAAAGATCATGGTCTACATCAATTAACCCTTAGTCCTCAAATTGACATCATTGTTCTTCAATAATTTGGAGAGGTCCCTGATTGTAGACTTTCCCAGTACAATATATCTCCTGATTTCCTGACTGCTAGTAGCAAATCTATTATTGATTGTAGACTCAAGTAAGATGAAATTGTTGACAGTATCAATTTTTTTCTCCATCTATCATAATATTGCCTATTGGTCTAGTGGTGAGAATTTTTTTTCTTAATGTTGAGGTGCAATCCAAATTGAAAGCTGTAGTCTTTGATCATGTGAAGCAAGTGCTTCAAGTTCTCCTCACTTTCAGCAAGCAAGGTTGTGTCATTTACATAACCCAGGTTATTGATGAGTCTTCCTCTGATCTTGATGCTACCGTATATTCTTCTTCATAGATTTCAGCTTCATGAATAATGCTCAGCAAACAGATTGAATAAGTATGGAGAGAGGATACAAACCTGATGCACACCTTTCTTAATTTTAAACCACGTGGTGGTTTTCCCTTGGCACACATAGACATTCTTCTGGTCTTTGCTTCAGCCAGGATCCATCTGACATTAGTAATGATATCCCTGGCACCCTAGCTTTTTAAAAAAAAAATTTTAATGAAAGTTTACAGAGACTTTGGATTTCCATTCATTCATTGTTGCACACTTTCTTTGCTTCCCAACCTTCCTCCCAATTTGCTTTTCTCTTTGAAAAGTAAAAAAAAAAATCCTTCATTGTTATATAACCCTCCCCCCCACTCCTACCCAAGTCTGCTCCATTATGTAGGTTTCATTCTGGACTCTTATCATGACAATAATGTGGTTGTTATTGTTACATGCTGTTGAGTCATTTGTGCTCATAGTGACCCTATGTACAACAGCCCTAAACCCTGTTCTATCCTGTGCCAATCGCACAGCCTCTGACACACCCATCCCGATTACCTCAGTCACTGAATCAATCCACCTCATAGAGGGTCTTCCCCTCCTGCACTGCCCCTCCACCCTCCCAAGAATGATGTCCCTCTCCAAGGACCTGTCCCTCCTTACAACTTGTCCAAAGTATGTCAGATGAAGCCCCAGAATCCTGGCCTCCAAGGAATAGCCTGGTTTAACCCTCTCCAGGTTGAATCCATTTGTCTTCTTGGCAGTCCATGGTACCTTCAGCACTCTTCTCCAGCACCAAAGCTCAAAAGCATCAATTTCCTTCTATCCTCCCTGGTCATTGTCCAGCTCTGATACATAACAAGTGATTGCAAAGACCAGGGCCTGTACCAGATGCATCTTAGTCTCCAGAGAG